ATGCAGGGTCATATGAAGGTCAATTTTTAGAGCTTTTAGGAATCGTCACACTGCTTTCCACAGAGGTTGCACTAGTTTACAATCCCACCAACAGTGTAGAAGTGTTCCCTTTTCGCCACACCCTCTCCAGCAGCTGTTATTTTTTGAGTTGTTGATAATTGCCATTCTGACTGGAGTTAGGTGGTATCTCAGTGTGGTTTTGATTTGCATCTCCCTGATGATTAGTGAGGTTGAGCATTTCTTCATGTGTTTGTTGGCTGCTCGGATGTCTTCTTTTGTGAAGTGTCTGTTCATATCTTTTGCCCATTTTATAATGGGGTTGTTTGTTGTCTTCTTTTCAGTACGTTTCAGTTCCTTGTAGATCCAGGACGTTAAGCCTTTGTCAGACCTAGAGTTGGCAAATACCTTTTCCCAGTCTGTAGGCTGTCTCCCTGCTCTCTTGATGGTTTCTTTGGCTTTGCAGAAGCTTGTCAGTTTAATAAGGTCCCATTTGTCTATCTTCTCTCTTATGTACTGTGGGTTACGGGTTTTGTACAGGAATTGGATGCCAGTTCCGATTTCCATGAGAGTATTTCCTTCCTTTTCTAAGGTTCTTATGGTTTGAGGTTTTACATTTAGGTCTCTGATCCATTTGGAGTTAACCTTTGTGCTTGGGGATAGATAGGGGTCCTGTTTCAATCTTCTGCATGTAGTCAGCCAGTTTTCCCAGCACCATTTACTGAATAGGTTCTCCTCTCCCCATTGGTAAGACTGTATCTTTTTCTATAGGGCCCAGAGCTTTTTGGGAATGGCTCTATGCTATGAACTGAATGTCTGTGTTCCCCTAAAATTCGCGTGCTAAAACCTAACTCCCTATTTGATTGGTATTAAAAGGTTAGGACTTTGGTAGGTAATTAGGTCATGAGGGTAGAGTCCTCATGAATGGGATTCGTGCCCTTATAAAGGGCTAAAGAGACCAGAGTTCACCCCGTCTACTTTGTGGGGACATAGTCAAAAGACACTGTACACCATAGAGCCAGACCTTACCAGACACTGAATCTGTTGAAGCCTTGATCTTGGACATCCCAGTCTCCAGAATTATAAACAATACATTTCTGTTGTTGCTAATCCACACCGTTTATGGTATTTTGTTATAGCAAGCAAAGACATCCTGTGTGTTTGGTTCTGGCGGAGTTGGAGATATTTCTGACCACTTCCAACACCATTGCCTCTGGTGGCTGCTACCTAAAGTGAAGGTTCAGCCTGTAGCACCCACAGCTGAAGCACCATGATATTAGTCTAAGCATTCTAATCTTCATAACTCTGAACAAGAATTTTCATTCTTTTTATTATCCTTCAAAATGGTAAGAGAGTTTACCCTGATACGTATTCTTCAAAGGTCCCAGTTGGAGATCTGCACACGTATACATTTTTCCTACATTGTACCTCCCACTCTGAATCAGCAGGGATGGAAGACCAGAGGAGAATCTTGAAGTTATATTCTCGAACTTCCCCATGGATGACATGTTATTTTTGCCTTCTTCCAAAGGCATGGTTGAGAAAAGCAGGCGAAATCTTGGATTTCAAGCCTATATTCTAATAGAGTGCAGTTTGTCCTGCATAACTTCTGGCAGGCACAAGTTAAATGCTATTAGCAAGTATATATTGGATATGTAGCTTTTTCAGGTACTGTACTAGTCCCTTTATGTCTCACAGGTCTTAAGTTCACCCTCAAGTTCACTCAAAAGGACTCATACTACAACCCAGTAGCAGGTTATAATCATAGTTAAGGTATATTAGAAAAATATTGTATATTCCAAGAGCAATGGGAAAAAGAAGGATCAGAAAAAATCCAGAGAGGTTGGGCACAGGTTTTTGAGAACTTCTCCATTTTTGGTCACATAGGTCATGCCTTCTCTCTAGTAGTAAACTATATGGACATGTGCAGAATGTCTCTGCCCAAGAAAGACTGTTTGAATCTCTTGGTCTGAGGCTTTCATTGAGAGACAATCACATAGGGGCATCATGTTACATGCCCAGCCACAGCAACTGAAACACAGGATCCCAACAATGAAACCCATACTATATGTCACAGAGCCTCAGTTTATTCAGGTAATCCCTCACTATATATATATACATGCATACACAATGTATATTAATATTTGTGCAAAGCAATCTTGACAAGCTGATATGGTGTGGTCCATTGCTCCAGGTGTACAACATATAATCAACCATTAACATAAGAACAATCTGAGAGCCACAATCCCAGGGGTTGGCCAAAGGTCAGTCAAGGTTCCAGATTTCATAGAAAACATATAAGGACTTGACAGCCAGACCTGTTGTGTTAACACTTCACATATTTTATCTAAATCCCAACAGTCCCCCATTATATGGGGGATTACATGAGTAAACTGAGGCTCTGTGACATATTGTAAAATCCTCACTAGTAAATGCTGAACTAAGATCTGAATCTATAACTGGCTTATGTTCAATCTTTCATTATGTTGTAGTCTTCCACTACCAGCTACTAGCGTGCTGATTTTTCACAGATCACATGATCCGTTGGCACGAGCAAAATCCCTACTTGACTTTTAATAAGTGTGGTCCATTCTACCAGCCTACCACGGCCATATAAAGATGTCTTATGTTCATTCAGATTTGACTTCCCCATGGTTTCTGCTTGTACACAGCTGAACCGCCTGCCCCAGTCTGTGTCCATAGGGTCACCATAAAATTATCAGGTGGCACAAGGTAGTTGCTTCTGCACACAAGTTTTAAGAGATCGTATATGAATTAAAAAGGATTGTGGGAGCTACAGACTTGATTTCCTACTGGTACTACCTATTTTAAAACAACAAATTATACAGGAATAAGTTGCAGTTCTGGGTTAGAAAAACCTTGTAGTCTCTTTAAAATTCACAAATAGAAGAAAAAGTTGTGATCAAATTTTAAAACTACTTATTATGAAAAAAAGTTCAAACATATACAAAAGTAGAGCAAGTAGTATAATGAACTTTCATATAACCATTATTCAGATTCAACATTTATTGCTACATGGCCAATCTTGTTTCATATATATTCCTATTCATTTCTCCTCTCATTTATATCTCTAAAACTTAGTGGCTTTTTAACATACATAAAAATATCATTATCTCACCTAAAATTAATGATAATCTTTTTTTTTTTTTTTAGAAAGCAGGACTTATTAAGAGGACGGAAAAGCTCCCATAGTGGGAAGGGACCTGAAGGGGTTGCCCAATGATAATCTTTTAATATCAATTATCCAGTCTGTGTTCACGTTTCCCCATTCATCTCTTTACTACACTTGCTTTATTCAAACAATGTTGATCAATGTTTAAAAACATTAACACTAAATTTTTTAAATCAAAATTGCCTAATCTGGCTTTACATTTTAGGATGATTTTGGAGCTAATCTGATCTAGTCTGGAAAATAGCAGAAGTCGAAATTGCATGGGTTTCAGTTTAAACTCATCCAGTGTCTTGGTAGACAAAGCCGAATAATCTAAGCTCTTTTCTCTCTCCTATTTTGAACCTAGAGACATGTAATACTTTAAAAGCTGTGAATATTAATATCTAATAAAAATGACTAACTGCCAGTGACAACCAATGATAATGACATCTTAAGAAAAGTCATCTGCATGGCGATGTATATTCCTTTTTAAACCACACTTAATTACAGAGTAGGAGTCTACAGAATATTTGGAGCTCATTCAATATGCAAAATTCTAAGTGCGTTAATGGGGGTTTTACACATAAGACCAACATAGAGTTTATAATAAAAATGTATGCACCAAGAGTCAGAGAAGAATTTTAGCAAAAGGAAGGGGGAGGATTTACCAGTGAAAATTTGCCCACGCTAATAGTTAAGCCCTATCACTCCAATAGATTGGCTTTAGTACTTCCTGGAAATGACCTTGCTTAAGGAAGAAAGTCACAAAATTCTCCTTCCTGCCTTTTTAGCAGCTTTGTCTTATCTTTTATGGTACCATACTCACTGCTCTCCCACTCTCCACTTTGTCCCCCTATTCAGTAAC